GGACCATTGTTATGGAATGTCTACTTCAACGACCTTCTTCATCTCATCCCAGAATCACATGCATATGCAGACGACTGCACACTGACATTCACTTACCCAAGAGAAGAAATGCCAGCTGCTCCTTCTACATCAATCACCAGCTGAGAGCTGTATCAGCTTGGGGAAATAGATGGCAAGTAACATTTGCACCTGAGAAAACGCAAATGATGATCATCTCTAGGCACCATGATGGTAATGCTGGTGCAGTAGTAAGGATGAATGGGAGGGTGTTGGCACCTGGAGAAGAAGTTGATATCCTTGGGGTGAAATTTGACTCCAAACTAACCATGAAGAACCATGTTGTAAATCTTGCAAACAAGGCAGCCAGGAAGCTTACAGCACTTCGCCGTATCTCGCATCTACTTGACAGTAGGGGTTGCAAGATTCTGTACGAGGCACAAGTATGCTCGCACCTTGAGTATGCTCCACTTTCTTGGTTTGCCTGCCTCCCCCTCTCATCTGCGACTGCTTGACAGAGTAGAGAACAGAGCAAGACGTCTCATCTCTCGCCTGGACCCATCCTGGATAGATCTGTCATTTCAGCAGAGCCTTCAACACAGGAGGGATGTGGGTGGCCTTACTGTTATGTACAAGGCCAATATTGTCAAAGTACCACACTTGGATCCACTTCGAGGACAGCGTGAAACAAGCTTTTATGCCACAAGACGGGCAGAAAGCAGCAACTTCACTTTGGCTGTACCCTTCTCCAGAACATCACTCCATCTGAGATCCTATATACCCAGGGTGACTCGAGTATGGAACACATTCATACAGCATAATGATGTCAACGAGATAACGTCAGTTGATCAAATGAAAAGGCTGGCCCACAGATGGCTCCAACTTATCCTGTTCCCTACTTGTATGTCTCATAACAATAAAAATGCTTTCAAATGAGCTGATGTAGGTAACAACTCTTAGTCTTGCCAATAAAGTTAGGAATCCTTAACCTGTAAATAGCTTGTCAATAAAGCTAGGGATCCTTAACCTTGTCAAATCCTGTGTAAAAAAAAAAAAAAAAAAAAAAAAGATAGAGAGAGACAGAGAGAGAGAGACAGAGAGAGAGAGAGACAGAGAGAGCCACATTCAGTCAGCCATTCACCCACCCGGCCAGCCAGCCAGCTACGTATTACACATGTTCCAGAGTTGTTTCTCTTTACTTAGGGTATAGGTTATACTACATTCTGGCAGGATGACACTACCAGTGGTATTCTCCCATACCACTGTGTCGACAATACATAAAGATAACAGTAACATATGATACTGTATGCGATGTAAAATTTACAGTACAGTTCACTACCATGTATACATTATATACAGTAAATAAATAATTAAAATATAACAATAGAAGTAAATTATGGTAAAAAAATGAAATAATGATTGTACATTACATTACAGTACTATGTAGGTAGTTTATATAGGAAAAGTTTGACATTATGCCCTACCCAGTATGTCGGCAATTTTCAAAGGTTCGACTTACGTCCATTTTGACTTACGACCGGTTGGTCGGAACCAAGCTTGGTCGTAAGTCGGATGGTAGGTGTATATATGGGTGGCAGCTCAACTTATACCACAACCTTCCATTCCCCACTGCAGTCCAAGCACTCACAAGTAGTTATCCTCACTGCAATCCTCCCAGACCATACATCCAGACACAGTGGGAAAGAAAATGGAAATTGGTGAGAAGTTAGTAAATGTGAGAGAGGTGGAGGTAACGGGAGTGAACAGAGAAGGACTCATCTCAGTACAGTATTGTGCATTGTTTTTAATTTTATTTTAAAGAAATAAATGAAACTAGATATGGAATACAGGAATATATCATTGATTATAATGTTGGTGTATGTAGAAAAATAGGCTCCGTGTTAAAAACACCGTGGGAGATGGCTGACATGTTGAAAAAAAAAAGTGTCATTGCATAATAGAGCCTACATTTTGATTAAATTTCATACACAGACTTTTGTTCGGTTAAAAAAACCTATAACAGTCAGTTTGTTCAGTGGCATCAAGCATGGCCTGATATGTAAAAAAAGTAGAGAATATGTTTTATTAAGTGACTCAAGGAAACCAGTTAGACATACGAGGAAATCAGTTAGCTGGTTAGCCTGCACTCTGAAGGATGGTTGGGGATGTTTGTTGTTTAGAGGGTCACCTGAGCTGTCATATCTGTGCACCTCTGGCAAGACAGTGATAGTGTGAATGATGGTGAAAGTATTTCTTTTTTGGGTCACACTTCCTCAGTGGGAAATGGCTAGCATGTTAAAAAATGAATTACGGTATAGACAATGTTTGATATAGAAGCTCCAGATTTTTTTTTATTTTTCTGTAAATATTTATTATATGATACTTGGGACCTGACGATCTGTTGGAGTGTGAGCAGGGTAATATTTAGTGAAGGGATTCAGGGAAACCGGTTATTTTCATATAGTCGGACTTGAGTCCTGGAAATGGGAAGTACAATGCCTGCACTTTAAAGGAGTGGTTTGGGATATTGGCAGTTTGGAGGGATATGTTGTGTATCTTTATACGTATATGCTTCTAAGCTGTTGTATTCTGAGCACCTCTGCAAAAGCAGTGATAATGTGTGAGTGTGGTGAAAGTGTTGAATGATGATGAAAGTATTTTCTTTTTGGGGATTTTCTTTCTTTTTTGGGTCACCCTGCCTCGGTGGGAGACGACCGACTTGTTGAAAAAAAAAAAAAAAAACTTTCTAAATCTTGTTTTTTGCCTTTAACTTTGTATTTAAAATAATTTTACAATTATATTTGTTGTATCATGTCTCTACTAACTATTAACCCTTTAACTGTCTAAATGTAGATCTGCATTTGTACCGCTAACTCTCCAAATGTAGATCTACATATTATTTTTCCTGCCTCAAAATTTGGCACGATTGGCCTGAGATGCCTGGTCAGTATAGAGTGGGTCTTAACACACTGTGTGTACAGTATTAAAAAATCTGGGACCACTTAGTACCTTGTGGGAGCACCAGTTCAATTGAGTGCCAGCTAGAGCAAACAGCATGGCAGACACCAGGAATTCATTGATGTCATGTCATATTAACACTTCCCTTTTAAGAGGAAAGTGATGTTGACCCAGAGTTTAGTGGCTTTGAGATGGATGTGGCCGCAAGCAGTCAAGGAAATATCCAAAACCTTCATAATAACCCATATGCAACATTTGTGCAACATCCTTTCATTTCTGATACCACTAGTAGTGTCGTCCTGCTAGAATGTCCAATAACCTATGCCCTAAGTAAAGAGAAACGATTCTGGAACATGTATAATATGTTTTCGGCAGGCTGGCCAGCTGGGCGACTGGCTGGCTGGCTGGCTGGCTGGCTGGCTGGCTGGCTGGTTGACTGACTGTGGCTCTCTCTCTTTCTGTATCTGTCTCTGTATCTATCTGTCAATATCTGTCTGCATATCTGTCTATATATCTGTCTATATCTCTGTCTATCTCTGTCTCTCACAGTTACACATAAGTACAGTTATTTTACATAGTGTAAATTACCTAGGATAACCCAAAAATTTCAGGCAAAGTGCTATACAGTGCTTGTAGATATAAGGCATAATAAGCATGACACAAGTAATACACATTTTCACTTGCTCAGGAATCAGGGAGTGGCTTGCAAACCAACAGGTTTACGAGCCGCTCCTTGAGACAGAGAGACAAGCAGACGGAAAGACAGACACACACAGGCAGACAGAGAGACAGATAAGCAGAGCTAGACAGACAGATAAGCAGAACTAGACACAGACAGATAGATGCAGACACAGACAGACAGACATGTTTGTGTGTAACAGTGAAAACAAATAAAGCCAGGGTTCCTTGGAGCAGTGCACATTCATCAAGTGTCACTGCACTGTCAGCAGTTTACTGACACTCGTCATAACACCTTGCTTCAAGGAGTTTCTTATATGTATACTCCAGCATGTCTAAAACATTGCTGAGACATAAATACTTTGTATATATTTCTAGACAATAGTATATGACCAAAGCTGGTGAAAATGTTCACCTGTCAGTGTGATTGTGACTATTTGAGTACTATTTCAATACCTAATGTTAGTGACAGAACAAAGATTGGCTATGAACTCACAAGAACTGTTATAAATTGTAGTTATCAGAACATAGAAATTATATAAATTAAAATAAAAACGAGAAGAAAGGTATATTGGCAACACTTCTGCAAGCGGCAGGACTCGATGTTGCCATCAGGTGAGCATCCAGCGCCAACTTCGCGGGCTTATATCTCGGTAAGTACTGACCCTAAATTTTTTGTTTATCCTATAACGTGTAGAAAAATACACTCTTCATTTAATTTTTTTTTTTTTCCAAAATATTTGGAGCGCTACACGAGTGAATGTAGATCTACATTTGGACAGTTTAAGGGTTAATTCATTAGTCTTTCATTTTTAGAATGTGTATAGTTTGATATTTCTATTACAGATAGGGTTTATATTACTGATGGTTTAATCATAACCCTTCTTAAGTCTTCTTGTTATAGTTTGTCATAATCTTTACAAATGACATTGGTATGAGAAATAATAAAAACAGTTGTTTGCATGTACTATATTAAGAATGCACCTCTGAAAAGTAGTAGGATCATACATGATTTTCATCTTATAAAGGAAGTATGATATACTTTAGCTTATTAGCGCATAGTATTTGAGCAATTTATTGTATAGCCGTTTTGAGAAGGTCAAAATAAAATGCCATCGCTTTAGAATTATATGCATCTTCCAGTCTTCCTCATACATTATTAACTCATAATGAAAATGTTTTCTATTAGGTGAACATCATATTTTGAATGTTTTGATGATGAATTGAAAAAATAAAAACTGGATCTTTTACAGTTTTCTCTCTGGTATTGGTGTACAGCATATACAATGTTGACAAATAATTGTTATTTTTCCTGATGTGCTGTTAGCCCATGTGATCCTGGTCTAACTCATTGATATTAACCTTAGGAGAAGCTGCTGGATCTGTATGGTGATGTATTTGATGTTCACGATACAGTGTATGTGATGGATGCCACTGCTCCAGGCTCTACAGCTGTTCGTTCTCTCAAACAGTATCTAGCAGATTGCAAAGCCAAAGTTACTCAGGTTAGTATAGACATTTGTTCAGTATGTTAAAAGTTTGTACAGTATTTTTAGATGTTGTTGGAGTGTTTGTAAGAAAGCTTCTTTCAGTACTGTAAGTTCATATAAATAGATATTTATTATTATACCAGGAGCAAGGGGTTAGTAACCCCTTCTCCTGTATAAATTACTAGATGTAAAAAAGAAGAAAAACTTATGTTTCTTCTTTTTCAAGTCGCCCTGCCTCAGTGGGAGATGACTGTTGTCTTAAAAAAATTATTTTTATATAATTATTCTCTTAACATGTTTGCCCTCTGTTTTTTTATTTTTATTTTGCTGCTTTGTTTCTGGATAATATCTTGAGAATGCCTCATCCTACTGACTTAAAACTTAATAATATTGAAGTCGTCTTCTTTCAACACACCGGCCGTATCCCACCAAGGCGGGGTGGCCCAAAAGGAAAAACGAAAGCTTCTCCTTTTACATTTAGCAATATATACAGGAGAAGGGGTTACTAGCCCCTTGCTCCCGGCATTTTAGTCACCTCGTACAACACGCATGGCTTATGGAGGAAGAATTCTGTTCCACGTCCCCATGGAGAGAACAGGAAATAAACAAGAACAAGAACTAGTAAGAAAATAGAAGAAAACGCAGAGGGGTGTGTACATATATATATATGCTTGTACATGTATGTGTAGTGTGACCTAAGTGTAAGAAGAAGTAGCAAGACGTACCTGAAATCTTGCATGTTTACAAGACAGAAAAATGGACACCATCAATCCTACCATCATGTAAAACAATTACAGGCTTTCGTTTTACACTCACTTGGCAGGACGGTAGTACCTCCCTGGGCGGTTGCTGTCTACCAACCTACTACCTAGAATACTGAAGTATATCTATAAAAAAAAACCTTCCTGTTGAAACAAATAGTGTAGTCCCCTCATGGCCATTTTGGAAATCAGTTGAACAGTTGGTTAGCTGCAATCAAATATACCATCCCCCCCCCCCCTTTTTTTTTTTTCTAAATCCAGTGTTTTGAGATTTTAGGCCTTTTCATTAACCCTTTCATTGTCCATGCTCTAGTACTACTGGTTTGAGGTCATTGTCAGTGCCTTAGTACTAAACCATGAGCTCAGCTCACTCACATAAGCTGTGAGCAGTAAATTTGGGCCTAGATTTGAGAGAATGGGTCATTGGTAAGTGTGCACCATATAAAAATTCTGCAGCACACAGCAGGCAAGAAAAAACTGTTAACAGTGTTTTTGGTTTAAAACGGTAACTTTTCAATGTATTTTCATGTGGTTTTTATGGTTGTATTCTCAGTTTCTTGGTCTTGTTTGATAGAATTTGAGATATATTCAGAAATAGAGATGATTTTGATTGTTTTCAGGACTAAAAATAGCTTGAAATTGAGCTGAGAGTAGCAGAAAGGTTCGATTTTTGCTGATATTCAAGAGTAAACAAATCACATCACTTGTCCAATACACATCCAAATGTGAGTCTAATATGTGTTCACAAGCACGCTGATATTATTTATATACAATTATTACAGTATTGCATAATAGTAAATCTTCTATTTTTTGTGTATGTGAATAAAAAATCACAATGGAATTCATATGTAAAGCCTGAGAATGCAACTAATGAAGAGAGGAAATATTATATTAGTGCTAGGAATGCCTATATTGTTTATTCTGGATGCTATTTTGAAATTTGTGTGAAATTGGCCCAGTTACCAATTTCTGATCACTTTACTGGGTAGTTGAAATAGTTGATTGGGTAGTTTCTTTTGCTCAGTCGATAAAATGGAAGATATACTAGTGAAATCGTTTAAAATTTGGTGTACTGGAACAATGTAATTGGCTTAAAATAGGACTCAAAGTGGACAAAATTGCTGATGTGTAAATCTCTCTAACACAGCAAAATTCGCACAAGCATAATTTTGTCAGTTTTCCATCAAATTTCCTACTTTTTGTTTTATTACCTTCAGAAAAACATTCTCTACCATTTCATAAAAAAAAAAAAAAAATTTGAAAATTCTTGGATGCTGTGGATAAGTTCAGATTGGGGGTCTGAACAATGAAAGGGTTAAATTGGTTTAGTAATCACTGCAGATTTGCCATATAAATACAGTATCTTATTTACATCATGTCTTATATAGATTTTTGTCTTTTAAGAAACTTCATTGTGGTTCTTTTCAGAAATAATTATTTATTGGATATTAATGTTTGGTCAGTTTCATAAAAGTGATTTTACAAAATATCTTCAAAATTGATATACATGTCTAACATGAATGTTATTTGCTGCAGTTGAACACAGACAATCCATTGTCATCATGACAAGAAGCTCTGTTATTTCAAATTTCTTTTACTGTGTCAAAGCAGTAGGATTGCTTTGATGCAGTAAATATACATGTTAATCTTACTAAACTGTGCTTGCTAGAAAATGGTTATATGTCCTTTTCCGTAGGACCTGCTAGAAGTACAAGTGCTGTATTTACTGATGTATATGATTTAAACATTATCTGGTTTAAAAGAAGTTATGGGAACTGGAGAGACAGGTGATAAGTAACATGTACTAAATATCAAAATAACCACAGGGACCATGAATTATTAAGATTATCAGTATAATGAAGCTGAGCCTCAGGTTGGTTACTTGATATAGCTTTTATTTTGACAGCTTCATTGGTTCTGGCTCTTCAACTTACAAGAAAATTGGTGTTAAGCTTGGTATTACAGGTGACTGCTGAAGTCTCATTTGAAACCTTCTTAGATAATAACAGCAGCAGCATCTGCTGCATAGAATTTGGTTTTGCTTTCATGAGTTTTTCCCTGTAGCCTGTACATTTGTGATTTTTCTGCTTATAAATGAAAGACTTTGTCTCCATACTGTTTATCATATAGCCTGTATTGAATATAACTTGTCCTTTGATGTAATGACTCATGAAATTGTAATAACACGATTGCAAATAAACCACAGAACAGGTGGGGTTTAAACCCATGCTGAGTCAGTCGCCATGGGTTTAAACTCCACCCATACTGTGGTTTGGTTCCTTTGACATAATATTTTCTAGATCTCTCTCCTTACCTTCATTTTCTTCACTTTTCTCAGGGTTTGCATTTAATTGTGAAATCAGTAACATTCGAGTGAGTGTATGATACGTAAGAATATTATTACCATGATCCCTAGCTTCAGTTTTTGTCAGTAATGATTAAAGTCATATCACACAGACCTCTGGTTAATTTTTATTAAATTCGCAGCTTCAGACTGCCAGTGCCGTAGGAATTCCTCAGAATCAGGATTAACACTTGTGCCATCCTTAGCGAGCAGGTTAGCAGGCTATAATTTGAACTGATCACTCTTCCAAATAAGAAGCTTTACAGAGTTACAAATGTCTTCAGTGAACCTAGCAGTGCATTTTATATTGAACTATTTTTTAGAGTTATTGTAACCAGGATCTTCAAATTCCAAATATGCTTATGCAATTTTGTTGCTGTACAGGGATTTAACCCTTTGACTGCCGCAGCCGTATATATACGTCTTACGAGGTACCGTGTTTGACGTATATATACTCATAAATTGTAGAGGTTTCAAATCAAGCAGGAGAAAGCTGGTAGGCCCACAGGTGAGAGAATGGGTCTGTGTGGTCAGTGTGCACCATATAAAAAAAATCCTGGAGCACGCAGTGCATAATGAGAAAAAAAAAAACTCCGACATTTTTTTTAATTAAAATGCCGAATTTGTGGTCTATTTTCGTATAGTATTTATGGTTGTATTCTCGTTTTCTTGGTCTCATTTGATAGAATGGAAAACATATTATAGAAATAGAGGTGATTTTGATTGATTTTACTATAAAAAGAACCTAGAAATGGAGCTCAAAGTAGGGGAAATGTTTGATTTTTGCCAATGTTCAAAAGTAAACATATGATGCCATTGTCCAATAAATGTCCAACTAGCCATTCTAATATGCAGTCATGAATGGGTTGATGTTATTTATACAATTATTACAGTATTGCAGTAGTCTGCATAATAGTAAGTCTTCTATTTTTTGTTTGAATAAAAATTCACAATAGAAAGCAAGAGTAATATCACAGGGGCCTGGAGACATGACTGATGAGAAAAGAAAATGTTATTTTAGAGCCAGGAATGTCTGCATTGTTCATTCTGGACCTTATTTTGAAATTGTCATATTTTTTAGTTTTCGTGAAATTGGCCAAATTGCAAATTTCTGACCACATTATCAGGTAGTTGAAATCGGTAAATGGGCAGTTTCTTGTACTCAATCGATAGAAAAAAATGGAGTTCTCAAGAAATAGCTATGAGTTTGGGCGACTGGAACAATGGAATTAGCCGAAAATAGGGCTCAAAGTGGGTGAAATCGCCGATTTGTAAACAGCACCGAGGTCGCTAACTTTGCGAGAGCATAATTCCGTCAGTTTTCCATCAAATTTCGTTTTTTTGGTGTCATTACAATCGGGAAAAGATTATCTATAATTTCATTAGAAAAAAATAATTTTTTTTTGTTTAATTTTGCGACACCAGGAGACACCCCAGGATTGGGGGTTGCGACAGTCAAAGGGTTAATACTCTTAATTACTCCTTGTGCCATTTTTCGGGTCACCTCTGCCTTGGTGGGAGAAGGCTGATTTGTTTAACCCTTTGACTGTCGCGGCCATATATATACGTCTTACGAGGTACCGTGTTTGATGTATACAGTGGATCCCCGGTTAACGATATTTTTTCACTCCAGAAGTATGTTCAGGTGCCAGTACTGACCGAATTTGTTCCCATAAGGAATATTGTGAAGTAGATTAGTCCATTTCAGACCCCCAAACATACACGTACAAATGCACTTACATAATTACACTTACATAATTGGTCGCATTCGGAGGTAATCGTTATGCGAGGGTCCACTGTATATACTCATAAATTCTAGCGGCTTCAAATCAAACAGGAGAAAGCTGGTAGGACCAGTGCTGTTTCTGGTATTTGTGAACGACATGACGGAAGGAATAGACTCTCAGGTG